TAGCGGTTTCTAGTATTAGATAGACTCCTGTACTATGCTTCACAGCATTAAAAAAGTCAAAATTGGTGAAAATATTTTGGATTAGATTTTACCACTACACTACAACTCGTGTAATTATTTATGCCTTTGATATGTAGTGGGATGAGGCTGGGATTTAAGATTTTGGACATTCCTAGGGTGTGCTCAGGCAGCTTTTTGCCATCATGCTAGTGCATTTACAGTAAGCCATCATTCTTCATCCATCTTCTGAGCTGAGACACCGTAAGCATGCACACGCACAATGCAAGTCTTAACACGTAACACTGAGTGGTTGTTACTTTACCAGTAGCAACATGTGGCCATTTAACCGCATCTCAGGGGTGACTTGTCTGTCAGAATGAGATGATTGCTCTAAATGAGTCATCAGATAAAGCAACTTGTGGTCTGTTTGGCTTGTTTCCACCCTGGTCCATGATTATCCACCCTACATACTGATATATTCATTCCTGGACTCCCATCAGCAGTGAACCAATGCTTTCCCTCGAAGAAGAAATGAAGTTGAGAAACTAGTTCCATTCATTTGGTTCTCCTTAGTCCTGTCCCACAAACACTGGTAAAGGCTGAGAGTGCCAGGATTCAATCCTTTCTACTGGGGGACTGTGCGATGAGATGGACAGTGGTGAGGACCAGGAAATGGATAAGGAGTTGACCAGATGGATAACAAGTCATAAATAAGGGAAGATATCCGTGAGCTGATCTTGAGCATTGGTTCTGTCAGAAGATGATGTCCTACTTTCCTGATCTTACATGCAGCAGCTTAAAAAAAAGTCTTTATTTTGCAAGAGCCAGGACTGTTCAGCCAGGAGAAGAGAATGCTCAGGGGGCGTAAAAATAAATAAATATGTACACACGCACGATAAAATGTGTGCCAATTCCTGGAGAGACAGTGCAGAGACAACAGAGCCTGGCTCATTTCACGGGTGCCCCGTGGGTTCAAACTGGAAGACAGGAGGTTTTCTCTGCAAGCCAGGAAACACTTGTTCCCTGGGAGGGTGAGTGAACTCTGGCACAGGTTGCCCAGGAAGGTTGTAGAGTCTCCCACCCTGGAGCTATTCAAACACTGTCAGGATGTGGTCCTGGGCAGCTGGCTGTAGGTGGCCTTGCTTGAGCAGGGCCTTGGACCCGATGACCTCAAGAGGTCATTTCCAACCTCAGCCACGGTTTGGTTCTATGAATATTTCCTGAGGGAGTTTCCTTCCCTCGTTAAACTGCCCGTATCTCAATCCATGAGTTTTTTTCTCGCTTTTACCCTTTCTGATTCTTTCCCCCATCCCGCTAAGGTGGAGAGTGAGCAGCTGGGTAGGGGCTCGTCTGCCAGCCAGGGTCAGCTCACCCTCCACCCCCCCGAAGGGGCTGCAGCCTGCAGAGGACCCAGGCAGGAACACAGGCAACACCTGAGACACTGACGTGCAGGGACCCTGACCCTGCACCCCTTGTTACCTGGCTGATGGGACTGAGTGTGACCTGCAGCAGTAATGGGTGGCAGGAGAGGAGTCTGAGGTGAAGCTGAGCCTGGGCAAGGGGAGGAAAGAATTTTAATTGGTCTAGTTCAAATGAGCTGGATTCATGCCTGCCTCTGCTGGGGAATCTGACACTGTCCCAAATGAAGGAGCACCATCAGCTCTCAGGCCAGGCATCTTCTGGTCATTTTTCTGTTGAGGCACCAAGGACTAAGCCTTGTGAGATCTTCCCTCTCACCGACCCCTACCAGAGCACAAGACCACAAAACAACACAACACAGCACAACCCAGCCTGGTAACATCCTGTGAGGGCTCCAAGCCTGTGCAGTGCCTTTCCTGTAAACTCCCCTGAAGGCAGCGTCAGGAGGAATTACTGCCTAGGTTTACCAAAAGCCATGGCATGTATAAAAAAAAAAATAAAAAAATCAGCTTTTTTATCTGGCTGTAAACTGTACCCATAAACCAGACTGACACGGACATGCGATCAGGAGATACAGAGAGGTACACGTGAACACGGAAGGATGGACAGAGAGGTGATTATAGACCTGAATTGCTGACAAGAATCAGTAGAGGAAATCTGGCCAAGAATTAGACAAACATAAGATAGGACAGATATCAGAAATAGAAAAAATACTTGATGAGTTGTTAGCAGAAAGACATGCAGACAGCTGGCCATACGCTGGTGTCAATAGTGAGGTTGGCAGAGGAGGAATACTTTGCTGTCTGAAGCTACAGCATGCACACAAAGACATTTTGACAGAAGTCTGAGCAATATTTTCAAAATGTGCATCCATTTTGGAAAATCATTTTAGGCAATAAAGAAAATGGTTTAATTAAATCTAAAAAAATAGTTTTTATTTTAACTGAGATAGGCATTTTTTAACTTTAAGAAAGCATCTTGTCCTTTAAACAAATGGCTGCCTTCTAAAAGGAAAGGGAAACATAGTTAAAAAAGAACAAGCAGTAACACACAAGCCGGGCTATTTCTCAGGAGAACTCTCCCTCTCTTCCCCTTGGCATCCCCATCTACACAGGGAAAAGCCAGACTCTTCCAGAGGTACCTGGGCTCACAGCGCTAATGCCGTATTGTTGGCACTGAGAACTATGGACCCAGATGCTCCTGGCTGCTGAAGTCAGTGTGATCAGGCCAAGGAGCTCATTGGTGAGAGAAGTCAGAAGTGATTCAGTATATAAATGAGGGTTGACAGGAATACTGTCTCTTTCTCTCTTCTGGGATTATGATTTTGATTTCAGATTTTTTTTGTCCTACAGGACCACTATCCAGGAACAGGCTGGCTATTGGTCAGTGGGTGGTGAGCAACTGCACTGTGCATCGCTCAGCTGTATATTCTATTGTCATTATTATTTTAATTTTTATTTTATTTCGGTGATTAAATTGTTCTTATCTCAACCTACAAGTCTCCTTATCTTTACCCCTCCAATTCTCTCCCTCATTCAGGGGCAGGGGAGAGTGAGTGAGCAGCTGTGTGGTGTTTGTCTGGCAACCAGGTTAAAATATGACATTCCTTTTTGGCATCCGGCATGGGGCTTGAGGGGTTGAGATAATGACAGGTTTGTTCAGAGTGTGTTGAAACAAATTGTTATTGTATTGATTTAATAATCTCTGGTCATAATGTTGATTTATTTCGTTTTAGAGTTGTTAGTAGAGCTGTGGGATGTAACTCTTTACTTGCTCCTTGTTGCACTGGCTAGTAGCTCTGGATACCTGATCAAGGGTATCATACGGCTTTACTGTTTAGTAATGATTGTGAGAATAATCCAGCTTTTGTACATAGTATTTCCACCACCTTTGTACTTCGGGGTCTATCTTCTAAGTTTTATTAATAATTACACTGTTACCTTGTCTCCCCAGGGAGCCGACTTATTGAGCAGACATGTCTATATTTCGGCTGTCATCTCTGGGAGACTACTAAAAATTACACTTTTAGCCATTTCTCCGGATGCCAACGTACTGGGAAGACATCTCCGTAGCTCGGGTACCACCCACTGGGAACTATCAGCAATTACATGTCTTACTTCTCGGGGAGCCAATTTACGAGCGGGACAGGTTCCCGAAATTTCCCCTTTTAATTGGGGAAATCCCCTTTTAATTGACCCAGCCAATTACAAGAAGGTTTGAGAGTTAAAATATCCTTGGGATAGTCGAACCAGCTTGCTCCTATTTCCCCTTCTCCTGAATGCAATTCAAGTCTTGTTTAAACTTAGACAACTATTTAAGAATATCACCCAGAAATCGACCCCCTCAACACGTACTGCTGCTACTCTAAGGCTAGTGACAGTCACTGCAGCTGTTCCAACCCCCAGAATAAGCACTGTGGCTATTCAAACCCTGGTAACAGGTATTGCAGCTACTCAAACCCTGGCGAGAGACACTGTGGCTACTCCAAGACCTACGATAAGAACTCTAGCTACTCAGACACCGAAAACAGGCACTGCAGCTACTCAGATCCCAACAACAAGAACTGTAGCTACTCAGACCCCAGTGATGAGAAATTAATCTGAGACAGAGAATCAACCAGTGCCGGTAACAACCTCACCTGTGACCGTGTCGGTGGAGACGGGGCCCAGACATTTCCGACCCCACACCCCGTACAGGTTGAAC